TCCTAAAACAATTACGTTTATATTCAGTTATCTTCTTGTGACATTTATTAATGTTAAAAAATGCCTTTTAAAGCAAGACTTAGAAACCCTCCACTAAAAATTATGCAATTTGACTCTTTTTAAAAACATCATTTTCAAATTTGAGAGCTTGTTATTTACAGCTGTGAATAACATTTAAAAGGAAACCGTTTTTAAACGTCATAAACATTATTAATAGTAACATATGTTTTTTCATGCAGAATTTTGATTTTGCTTAGAAGTGAGGACTCTGCTGGGTTTATTTTCCTTTTTTTATTATTTGTTTTCGTTGTTTTAGATTTTGCTCACTTGCTTTTTTTTCTGAACATGCTTACCAGTCATCATTTCTATGATATATATTCTAGATGATGCACTCGATGCTCAGAAGTTAGTTTCAAAGTTGAGGACATAGGCAAGAATAGATAAAAATCAACAAGCATCCAATATAAAGGGAGATTAGGATTTATTTCTATTATCCTTATGTATAGTTGCATAGAAAATCTTAAACAAAATCTTAAACAGAGATGGCCAAAGTAGAGATGTCAGAACAGAGAAGAACGATTTTATTGCATCCCGACTGTCTGAGACCAGGACTTAGAATCTGGGCTAAGAGACACACTGATCTCGCTGCTGTTTAAAATATAAATAAGCCGCTGATCTCTCATCTTTTTTGGTAATAAAATCCAAAATTTTGCCAAATAACTAACATTTCAGCTTTTCCATTCTGAGCAAAGTATAACAGAATGATCAAGCAATAAAAAACAAGCTTTAAGGAGGAAGAAGGAGGCATTTCCCCCACTTCTAACCAGAACAAACCAGTGTTTATATTGGAAGAAGCAGCAGAAAAGTGGCTAAGGGTAAAGACAGGATGTTGAAACAGAAAAAAAAGAAAATCAAGTGAACGTGTTGCACATGCACACTACAAAAGTATTAGGTGTAGGTTAATGAAACATTCATGATAGGAGTCTACAGCAGAGACACTTAACACATTTCAACACATTTTTCTTACAGCCCATAGTGAAAGTATCAATAATTCTGAGGAAACTTCCAAGTCCATGATGTTCCACATCCTTGTACCTGGATGTCCAGAACCTCTACTTCAGTGACCAGCCATTCTCTTTAATTTTTCACTGGATAGCTCAAAGGTTTAAAAATGACAGACTGAATCCAGAAGGCAATCAAGGTATTTTAAATATCCCTCTCCAACTTCTTCCATGGCTTAGCTCTATAAAAATTAAATTTTATAAACTTAACTTTTTGCAGCGTTGTGAATCATCATTCTAATTGCTTTACAAACTTTGGACCAAATAAGATGCAAAGACAGAAATCAAAATAAGTACTTTTACGAAGAATGAAATCTGAAATTAAGAATAAAAACTGAATCAAAGAGAAAGCACTGCGTTGAAAACACAGAATTATAAATATCTGTATAACTGTTGTTTAAAAAAGAAAAAAAGGCTTTAAATGGATTTAAAAAGAGAATGTATTGACACAATCTTTGGATAGTATTTCTGAAAACACGTGAAGAAGCACATGGAGGCTCCTATACCTGCACTAACTCAAGAACTGGAGTGTCAGGCAGTTATTTTGACAAAACGTTAACATATGATACAACAGCATATTTTCCTTGCAAAGGGTAGAAGACCAAAGAGAACATTAGATATTTGAAGATATATCTTCCAATCTTGGCATTTACCAAAAAACCCCTAGAACAGAATACAAATAAACCCCAAAACTTCCTAACCATTCTTCACAAAAACGACCTAAGATGAATCTAATGCATTTTAAATATAAAAGAGTTTTAAGCTTTGGCAAAAGAAAGTTAGAGCAACACATCCTATGTTGTAAATTCTGACTTTCCATATAAACAGCTAAAAAAAAAAAAAAAAGAAAGAAAAGTATAAAGCACAGATAAATACCCAACAATTTTTGCCTTCGATGAAGGCAACAAGCTTTTCAAATATGCTAGGCACTGCCCACATTTTTGTCCATGGGCAGAAGTGCTTTTCAAAGTCAAACACATGTACTGGTAAGCGTACACGAGCATGGTAAGTAGTACCTAAAATTATCTGGTGACAAAAATAGAACTGCCTCCGCAGGCAGCCTTGTTATGCCAAATCAGCGACTTAAAGGAAACACCTGCTGTATCGCAAAAGATATCTAAAAATTGCCACTTGTCTCAAACACAGATCTAAGGAGCCACAATAGTTAACTATACAAGTTAACTTGTATGCAACCAGGCTAGGGTAAGGGTGATTTTATAACTAATTAATAAAAGAAAAACGCCTTTCTTCACTTGTAAATACCTCGTAAGAGAAGGAACTTATGTGAGCCTTTAGTACTTGAAGATGCTAGAACAGAATACAAATAAAAAAAGTGGAGAATAAATAACCTAAGAAGCTGAACTGTGCTTAATCATTCTTTAATTTGTACTATAATACCACAGGTTTTCTGAATCAGCAACCTTTCTTGTTTTTGCTGAGTTGTAAAGAAAAAACAAATTACTGGTTTAAAAAGTTAGGACTCTACTGTTTATTTCCTTTTGGGTGTTTATTAACTTTATTATTATTATTATTATTAGAGGGAGAAAAAAAGTGTAAAAATGGCTCCAAGCCTTCTACTTCAACAGATAGGGCTGCTTACTCTGAAAATGTTTTCTGAAATCCTACTAAAGTCATCAATTCTGTCCTTAGCTAAAAATTTATTTCAAAGAACAATCAAAATGAGGTGGAAAGAAACTGGGAAAAGGAAAAACTGAAAACAGAGAACTCCGGAGGAGAAGATTCAAATGCCTCTGCTCCAATCACCAGAAAAAGTTCAGCAAACAGAAAGAACTATGAAGGATTAAAAATTGGCACAAGAAGCAACTTCGTAACCATCATCCATCAACTGGAGCAAGAATGCCCATTAGGCAGCCAGGATAATAAATGAAACAAGAAGCAAATGCAAAAGCTTCGTCCATTAAAGAGGAGCAGGAGTGTAGAGAAAGAAAAGCAGGATGAGAAGATGACTAAACTTTCTATCACTAATAATTTTGGTCAAAAGATAATTTGTAAAAGGATAGTCAACTTGATGAAGATAAATAAATAAAGCAATAAACCCAGTACAAACTTGGAGGCTCAAATTCTAAAATATATATCCATGAAAAAGAAAAACCATGAGGCAACTCTGTACTAGCTTCATTACATTTTTATCGTAATTCCTGTAAGTATTCCTACCACAAGGACAGTATATATATCTCCAAAATGGTTAATTAAAAAAAAGAGAAAAAAGATAATAACACTATTACAACTGTTCAGGTTAACTGGGCTTTTCTTTTTTCTTCCCCTCTTGCGCTTTTAGAGGGTGTGAAAGAGGGAGTTTTCAGATATGCGTATTTCTAAATTACACAAATGCCTAGAGAAAATTTGAACATTAAACCTCCTGTGACTTCAGCAATAAAAAGAACAGATCCTATAATATATGATCCAATAAATAAATAAAATTTATTTTTTATATCCTAAGTTATTTACTACTATATCAACTTTTGAAATAAAAAATAAATTCACTCTGATATAAAATGAACTTCAGAATATGTTTATTATTAACATACAAATCAAATATTTAAATTCCTAGTGAAAACTAAAGCTTATGGAAAGGCATATAAAACCACTGTAGCTGCAAAAGATTTTTATTACATTCGTTTAATAATAGTAAAGAGTAACTTACTAGCATAACACTAAACTTTAAGTCTATCCTAATTTAGCAGAAAAAAACACTTATTGTTATGGTAGCCTCACTTAGAGAAAAATCCCTGAAAGTATAAGTGCTTAAGCACAGCATATATACTTTAAAAAATCCCACAAATGAAAAATATAAAGGAGTCACACATCCAAATATTTAAAAAGTTATCCTCATGCAAGTGAATACAGGCTTACTGCAATACGTGCCTTTTTTTTAATTAACTCAGAGACTTAATTTTTGAATAAAACTCTCTCAAGGAAGAATCTAGTCCTTTAATTTTCATATGTATAAAATAACTGTACTGTATAAATTACTCTACATAAAATTCATTGCTATATAATTTATTTTTTAAATAGGAATCAGCACAACAAATTTCTGTGAACTTAAACTAGATGGATTATAGACTCTATTAGAAAAAAACTGTATTAGAATACTATTTATAAATGTCTGGTAATTTCCTTAAATTGACTACTTCCCTTACACTGCAGGAAATAATCTTGAATTTAGATAACAAAAAAATCACATTTCTAAGCATTTTCTCAAGAATAGAAAACAAATTTTGATCTGTGACCTTTTAATGTCACGTTTGAAGTATCAGCCTTAAACACATGCAAGACAAGCTAATAATAGAACTACTGTCATGTGCTGGCCAAATCACTAGCTATATCATGTTCTATAAAACAGATATAACAAAGCAGCAGCAGGTTTCTGGCTACCGACCTGGCAGTCTGAATGAGACTAACACAAATGGCAACAGAGTATGATAACCACTTTCCATATACGATATAAATATCTGGGAGAAAAACACTGAAAGATTATAACTACATAAATCTCGAATAAGATAATATTTTATCATTAATGTGGAATTTGTAGCTCTGAAATCTCTCAGAGCTTTGGGGATTCTTTGGATAGCCTCTCACATTCACAGCAATCAAAAATGGTTGAAAGAGTTTGATTAGAGGACTTTTCATTACCATTGAAGCAAAAGACTAAATAAATGACCCTTTCCCCAAATATGTGGGAGTTCTGAAGGCCAGAGAAATTGAACAAGCTTGTGGAGAATTCACAATAGAAGGAAAATACAATTAAAAATGCTAAACAAATAATAGATAAAAAAAAAGAGTTCCTAAAATTTGCATTAAAAAAGAATTGATTTCAAATATTCGATTAGGAAAAAAATGTTGTGACATTGAATAATAACCAAAAATGAACCATGGCAACTAAATTATACATATTAGTCCACCTGTGTTTGTACTTGCCTAGCAAAACTTTAGCATCTTCTACATCAAAATCTCCATCTCCATCAGCATCATAAATACCAAGCTTGCCTAAAAATACAGAGAGAGGAGGAGGACAGAATTAGGTTATAAAAAAAATAAAAATAAAAACATCAAAAGCTTGTTTGCAAAACAGTAATTTCGATATGCAATCATTGACTATCAATGCTTGGCTGTTTCTGTACTTTTTTGATGATTTAGTCACATTTTATTTTTTTCTGGGATAATTTTAAGTTCCTTTCTATGCTTGCTAGACTACAAAGTGAATACATGTTAATATTTTACAGAATGTTTCTTTTGGTGCTTGCAGACTGTACAATATCTAAATCAATGGTGCACTTTGTCTGAATACGCTTTCCTCAGAATAAAATTTAAATTTACAAGAAACATTCAACAAATTCCACTAAATGAAGAATCAATCAAACCATCATAATTTGTTTTCAGTACGCTGCTTGACATTGTACTTGGGGGAAAAAAAAAAAAAAAAAAAAAGGATAGCTTCTTAGTTTCTGTTTACTGAAACAGAAGCAATCTACTCCTTGGACAAAGAGATAATAGTCATAATTTTGTCACTCTATGACATTTTTGTAACTATATGACATTTAATGCAGTCAAAAAGAGTTACCCATTTAAACTAGTCCCTTTAAAATATAATCCAAAAATATTTTTCTAAGCAACTGAGTCATCGGATGCCTGATTTTTCTTTTGTTTTGAAGCTGCATCTCTGCCAGCCATGGATGTAAGCAAAGGAGAACTCAGTTTCTCTTCAAAAATAAATTTTAGCATAGAATTGTGGTATCAAGCATTTGGTGTACCTTGGGATCAGCAAGTGAGTAGTGATCTAATTTCTGTCGATAAAATTCAAGCTTCGCTTTTAATAGTGCAATAACTCCACAGACTGCTTGCAGAAATATTCTGTAGGACTACCCCTCTTTGTCGGTTTATTATTAAATTTCTCACCATCTTTAAATGGAGGCAGAAAATGACTTCTACTAAAATATATTCAATTATTATTCAATAACTCTTAATATAGTGTTTACAGAAAAAAAAAAAATCAGACGTGGATCTAGAATAAACTAAAGTATGGTCATCGCCATCGTAATGAAGCAATCCATTAGAAATGACCACCTTATTGATTCGTGGTTGAACACTATAGGATAAATGTAACACACTAAGAATAAGAAGCATTGTTTTAAGAACTGGAAGAACAATTGAAAAGAAAAAGAAATGGCTGAGTTTTTCATTTCATGGTAGAAGAACATAATCTTTTTTTTTTTTTTCTCTCTCTTCCAAGTTAAAAACATGAAAAGTTGAACAAAAGTTTGCAGCTATGGGACAATAAAGGAATTTTATTTCTCCAGTGTCCTACCTTGCAGTACCTCTGACAAGTTATAACGGAAATCCTTTGCTTTGGCTGCATGCACAGTAAAAATATAGAAACCATTATTCACATCACTAAATCCAGTTAAATTTCCAATCAGAAGCTTTTCTTAAAATTAGTATAGATCAAATATCATGTACCAACAGACCTGTAAAACGGTAAAGCTTGTAAAACTAGCAGTTGTAAAACTGCATGTTGAAGCTTGCAAAATCAGAGACAGCAGGTCATACAGTTTTGTATTTAGGACATGAAACCTACCAGCACTTTCACTCTTGGATATTAATAACAGTATTTCTATATAGTCATGTCATGATATAACAGTCAGAGTTATATTCAGTTGAAAAAGGAGGTAATTCTACTGTTGATTCACAAGAAGATGCCAAAGAAGTCATCGTTAACACACCCCCTCCTGAGAACAGTAACATCAGCCACACAATTTTAAGCCAATGCAACAAGTTCCTCAGCCTAAACTCAAACAAAGCATTTGTATTAAAAATTTCAGAAGTACTGCATACATTTTATGAACAGATAGAAAAATCTATCCTTAAGTACACTTTAATTCTCTAGTAAAAGCAGTATTTCAACAGAATGGGTTTTCCAGTTTTATTAAAGCTCCATTTCAACAGATGGAGTCCAGCATTAAAAACAAACCTTTGAAGCATATTGCTTATTTTTATTCTTAGCTTCATCTTGTAGGTCATTTCCAAACATGACATTAGTTAATTTACCTAGCTAGTCAGGTGCTGCTCTGCAGAGTCTAAACTAAAGTTTGATATTTTCTGAAATGCAAAATGGCCTCCATCTAATGCATATCATTCAAAGTATGGGAAGGATCTTAGTATATTGTAAGAAGATATAAAATTCTTACCTAGAACTTCTTCATAATCTACGAGTTCAAACCAAACAACTGCTACTGATGTCCAAACTCCCAGCAAAGCAATTACCATAAACCAGGTGAAAAATGAGCTTCCAGAAAGGCTTTCTTTCTTTCCGTTCTTGTTTCCTCCATGCTTAGTCTCTGTCAAAATAAGATCCACAAATACAGAAAATGATAAGGAGTTATAAAATAATTATGATTGAGCATGTAAATAGAATTTGGCATTTGAGTAACTTTTAAACATCAACTTAGCTACTTGTTTTTTATATTACTGTAAGTTACAGAGGAGAGCTCGATGATTATTTAAGTGGTAAAAATTCCTATAACCAAGCAAAGATCCCGATCTTTTTTCTCTTTAATTCCTTAGTTGGAAAGCCATCTCTCTGTCCTACTACCATACATTAATATGAAGTTTAACAATTTTGACAATTTTGAGGACAGTACAACCAGGAGAGTTTTGAAGAAAAGTATTTCTTCACAAGCAGTGAACAGTTTCAAAGGCAGTGATTGCAGCAAGTTAGCTCATGAAATCCACATGGCAATTCCAACAGCCTAAAGAGACTCTAATATCTAAACAATATTAAGAGTAAGACTCAAATTCAGACGCTCAACCAAATAACCAGTATGTTCTCTGGTATTTCAAATCAAGCAAAGAGATCCACTACATGCTGATTAGTTTTGGACTAGGAATTAACTGATAAAAGGATAATATGGATATTGAAGGCAAACTACAACTTCATTTACAATGAAACAGGTATGGAAAGTATATATGCAAATATAGGTGTTATAAAGAAAATATGGAGGAAGAGAATCCCTCAACATAGCAGGTGGATTGGGTGTTTCAGATCTCTATCACCACCACCACAAGAGGAGGTGTAAATTCCTTACTATAGCTCAGGATCATTTTATGTAAAGAAGGACAGACCTAGTAAATGGATACCCCCAAAAAAGGTGTCTATAGACTTTCTGAGCCTGCTCCAGTGCTTTCCAATACTGTAAGACAGGAGCTTGGCCACATTTCAGGTCTACCAGCCTATTCCACTTCATTTCTTCTAAGCTTTTGCCTTTGCCCAAAGAGCCACATTCAATCCTACTGATAGGGCAATCCATTTCTAAGGTGAAAACAGACTGCAAAAGTAACCATAATGATTTACTTGCTATACAAGGAAAGCAAAAGAAATCCCCCTGACCTATGCCAATTTGGCCACAGAGAAAATTTTGTTTTTCAATCTGAAAATTATGGTGATTAGATTTCATGTTATAGGCAGAAACATAAATGTCCTCAGACAAACATGAACAGAAGTGGGAAAAGTTAAAAAGTTGAGCATGAGAAACAAAACAGAAATTCCATATTTGTAGAAAGACAGAAGAGCATGTCAACACCTCAATCTCAAAGAAATAAATATTTGAAGTAGTGTCTATAAAACACCTTTAAAACAATCTATAATCATCCAAAACTCAAAATTCATTATTATTCAATGTTTTACAGATTTCTTAAACCTTCAGAAGACAACCCAGCCTTCCCAAAACTAAAACAATGTAATTAGAAACAACTAATAACCATTTTGATCTCAATCACCCCTAAGGACCCACACAATGGTATTTTAGAATAAAATGGAGTAATTCTAGATGTTGCATAGCAATTATTTGACTATTTTTGTAATAGAAATTAAAGGAGGGCTTTCAGATTCTGTTTTTCAACACGATCACAGTTGTTCTAAATTAACCTTTTATTATATTCATTCATATTGAGTTCAAAATCTTAAAAAAAAAAAAAACCTCAGCTTAACTCTTACTGATATATGACAACATGTTTCTTCATTAAATGACTCATTGCTGAAACAGAATATCATTTTTTTTTCTCTCTTCTAAATACAATGTTTGCTTGGCACAGACTTTCCAAAAACATTTAAAGAGAAACCAGGACAGCTTATGCTTCCACCCGCTGATCTAGTGCCTGTGCGTCACTACTGCACACAACCCTAGCTGTGTGGTTGGGCAAAGTTACGAGGAGATGCAGGAAAGATGTGCACACAATGAGAAAATATGTGCGAAGGCAAGCAGTGTGTGACAACATCTTCAGAAATGTGATCAACTGAATTTAAAAAGTGTATAGAAGACTACTGAATTGAAATTTTTAATATTCAGAAATAAATAACTGTGCTGTGTAACAGTGAAACTTCACTACCCCTGTGTTCCAGCGCAGGCTATAGTCAATGAAAACTTTACACATACACATATTATTTAACAAGAAACTTTTAGGCTACAGATTCTAGGATACAATTTTCTTCTACAGAAAACTAAAAAGAGGCAAACAGAAAAGAGAATCTACTTGAATTTCATATGCCTTCATTTACTGCTGCTGCTTTATTGCTGTTTGTTTATGGAGAAAAGGATTTACACAGGAACAATGGAACAGGAAAATGAAATTCAAAAATAATAATAATAAATAATGAAGTAAGCAAGCATAACTGCTCCCTATTTTTCCCAATCCAAAGGACTGCTTCAGGGATTTCCTTTAAAATCACATTTTCCTAAAAAAAAAAAAATCCTTCACAGAAGTTGCAAAGTTATATTTTTATGCTACGGCTTCCTAGCTTACAGGAAAATTTGTTTCAAAATTCCTGAAAAATTCTCCTAAGAATTTAACCACAGCAGCTTTATCAGGAAACGCTTCAGCATAAACAGAGGTTATGTAATGCAGCACTTATCCATGATCTAAGCAGACAGCCACACACCCAGAGTCAGAACAAAAACCTGCAAGCCATTAGGAAATACTGGCTCTGGATTCGAATTCAATTCCAGACAGTGAGTTCTAAATTCAAGTTCTTTCTCTGCACATACTGCCAGCTATGGCAAAAGTAGGTCACTTCCCATATCTGGTAAGCCTTTGCTTACACCACCAGATGTCTTTACACAGACATCATAAAGTCTTAAACTGCACTGTATTCCTCAATGCCAATTACTATTATTTTTTTAAGTCCTATACCTCACCCTCCCCGAAATTAAGAGTCATTCATAGACAAAAACATACGGAAAAGCTTTTTCGTTTACTCTATTTTAACTTATAAATTCTCAGTAATTTGGTGTGCTTTAAAAATAACTTTTAAGACACGTATCTAGATGCAAAATAAAAAGGTCTCTTACTGTAACGTGCTCTACTCGGGCAACAATCAAGTTGCAATTAAGCCTGCCATCAACCCATGAAATACCACTGCTTCAGAAATCATTTCGTCAAAGAAAACAGAGGCAGCCTGTGACGCAGATTAAAACAGCTAACTAGCAAGAAAACAACAACGCAGAGCAGCGAGCTAGTTGTTTTGCCAACTACAACAACAGCCATTGCCAATATATGCAACTATGTATTTTCCATTTGGTCACCCAAAGGTTAGATTTTTACCTGTGTCATCAGCCATAATTCTTGATTTCCATAGGAAAAATGAGTGCACTGGTATCCAAAAATCAAAGTTGAAGGTGGAATAAGAAATGATTTATCTTCACTCTAGTCTTGCAACAGGAGCAAAAAAGATTCCTCAAGCTAGTTCAGCTGGAACCTGAAACTGGACCTAACTGAAAACTCTCCCTCAAATCTATTTTTAGAGCAGCCATGCTCACGAGCCAAAAGCTTTTCAGAACTCATATGGCAATGCAGTGACACTCACAGCCGCTCGCTCCTCTTAACGGAGCACGCTGGGTGCTGGCCTCTTTCTCCTCCCCTTTCTCCTTAACCATTAAACACAGCAGCAAAATGAATGCGGACAAGTTGCAGAGAGGTATTTGGGCTGCAAAACACGCCTCAGTGCCTGAGTGACGCTGGCACTAACCCTGCCAGTGCAAAGGCAGTCACGAGGGTGGACACAAAGCTTAACAAATGCGGCCAGACAAGCTGGCCAGGAAACTTTCTCCATGTTGGCACTCCCCTTCCAGCATGAGCAGGCTGTTGGGTTGAAATTTGTTACCTACTTTGACAATAAAAGACAGCTAATTTCAAGGAATGTCATTTCAAGTCTTAGAAGAGCTACTTGAAATTGATTACACGCATTTTTGCATCGAGGTTTCAAGTTAGAACAGTTCCCCCAGCACACCTCGATTTTGCCCTGCCAGACCCAAAGCTACCGACAACTTTGCAAAGCAAACCAGCGCATAGCCTGCTTCCCCAGAGTGCTGTAGGCAATAAGCCACGAGGGTAGAATAAGCAAAAATTCCATCATTTATTTGTTAAACAGTGCAGAGAGGGTTATTCTGCTTTATTTTCTCCCTCATGAAGGGAAGAACATGAACTCATTAACAGTAGCCTAGATGAAAGCTGTGATAGGCAGCACTCAGCCCTCCTCCCCAAACACACACCCTTTTGTAAACCAGGTTGCCATCAGGTAGATAGAGGAAACAGCAACACGTTACAGCTTGCTTTGAAAAACAACATAGACCTTATATAACTATTAGAGCTAGGAACTAGTCCCAGTATACAATTCCCAATAGCTCAAGGAAGAGTAACAGTAAGAAATAATCCTCAAAGGAGTTTAAGACTTGGCCAGCGGATGTAAAGAAACTAAAGGGCAATTGATTCTATAATCAATGAATCTTTTAAGGATTCTTTAAAACCACTTAAATACATGGAACAGAGCAGATATTTTAAGAAAGAGTTTGTAACTAGCAGCCCATTTCAGCAACATATGTAGGGCACAACTGATTTATAATAAAATAGAATAAAAATGTGAATAATGTAGAAAAGTCACCAGATACACGGAAAAAAAGCAACAGCTTGTTAAATGAACTACTTAGTGAAATAAAATGCACACACACACACCAAAAAAAAAATTGTTCTGACAGATACTACAGTAGGCAATTTGTTGCAACTTCATTTTGGCTACATCTACATTTGCAGACACTGCATCTTACTACAGTGGATTCACAGACCAAACAACTGATTTATAGAGTCAGCTTCAAACTAACTTTAGCTGAATGAAACTAACTTTGGCTGAATCACCACAAACAGCTGCAGTTTAACTTTCCACTTTATCTCATTTCATTCAAAACTAACTCAATATACTCCGAGCCCACTCCACAATGAACAAAAGCAGACTAAGTGGAGACAATCAGGAAAATCACTTCAAAGGTGCACTCCTGATCACAGACGAACACACACATGTGTGTGTATGTGCATATACATATATTTATATACACACCCACAGCTTAACTTGTGCCATTTAGAGTGAACCGATTACAAGGACATATGTGTCCAGGGAGTTTTGTGAAAGATGCGAGTTTGAATTGGACAGGTATTCAAAATAAAATTCAAGGTTGGGATAGAAGCTTCATGAGGTCTTCCACAGTGCTCAGATTCTTTGACCACCCATTTGTTTGTTTGCTCTTGTTCGTTCTCATTCTCACCTGAAGTCAAATTGCTTCAGCGACAGCCAAAGCTAGTATTTTCCACATTACCTGCACAGATGTTTTAGGCATCCTATTGTGTACTTACACAGATAGTTTGATGATATTATGGACAGATACAAACAATTGTAGCAAACAACTTTCAGCAATAAAATTGCAGCCAAGTATATTGCTCATTTTTTCATGTTTTATGGGGGGGACGTGAGTATCTACTAATTTTAGAATAGCCTCTGCTGAAACTGCTCTCTGTAGAGACTCTATCTCTCTTTTCCCCTGTCCTATTAAAAGCAGAGCTATTTTTTTACCTTAGCCTTACTGTTGTTTTCACCTCATGATTACAGAAGGCCTTTGAAACATGACAAAATAATAACCCTTCCCATTCTGAGACAATCTATACTTACACACATATAGAAATGTATGCTTTTTTGACAATATCTTTATTCTAAAGCTTAGCCTCATAAAGTATTATTCTGGAGTGCTCAGTTCTTATGTGCTTTTACAAAATGTATTTCAACACATTTGGGGAGGGTTAGCGGTTTTTTTTCCTCTGGGTACTTTACAGAGAGAAGAGAGGTATTTACTAAAGTGCTGATGGCATTTCTTAGAAAATATATCAATCAAATTTCTGCAAATATCCATTCAAGAGTTCAGTTTTAATGTTGAAAGATTTGACAAAAAAGAGAGTAAGATCTTTGAAGATAAGCTCTGACATGTACAATATAAGTTTATTTTTAATAAATAAAATACAAATTCTTCGTGATACAAAATTTATTTTTCTTCACAGTACCTGAGAAATCTTCCTTGGCATGACAATCTTAAAAAGCTAAAAATTAAAAAAGTTGTTTTATATTTGTTTTCTCCATTAAAAAATAGATTTCTCTCCTGCATTTGATAAAATCTACTCCATGTGGTTACAAAGAGATCTGTATAAACTATCCAAGGACTTTAATAAGCTACATTAAAAAATATTTAATCAAAAACAGAGAAATGTATTGAAAAGAGAAATGATTCAGGTTGTAACTGAGGTGGAATAATTAAAAGTTCCTAGATCAATTAGAATCAATGTTATATAAGTCTTGAGGGACCTTCGTTTTCAATCGCTGCAAGACTTTTAATAATAAAATATCCTATTATAAGAATATACAAAGAAAAGCACTAATACTCCTTTTCTAAAAGGAGCAAAGTCACAAATTCAGGATTCAGCAAATCAGCAGGCGGATCAGGCCTACGGTAAACAATAAAAGTAAAGCACCACAAAGTACCTAATAGACTCTAGGATCCCAACTGCCCTACTGAACTGCAGGGAAGCTCCTCCCTTCACTTGGAAGCAACTTCACAGAACTCTCTCCTATAATTCAGCACTTAACAAGGATTAAACATCAAAGATCTCTCTTGCCCACTGGATAGCAGGGTTTAAGTTGCCCTAAAACAGGTTATTAACTATCCCTCAGGATATAAGAGCAAAGTTTTCCTCATCCTCCCTGAGGAAGTTGTCCGTTCTTGCAGTTAAGCATAAGCTGAGCTGAGTGACCATTTGCAAGAGCCAAGCTCTGTACAAGGGAAGCCTGGGGCATTCCCTGCAACCTCACTCTTAGCAGGCCGACTCACTCTTTCATGACAGACTTGAACATTTTCAACAACAGGAATTAAGATGTACTCACTCTCATGTAAGTATATCCCATAAATTGCCACTGTTGAATGAAAGTCAACCAATATTTCAAGAAGGAAATGGAATTACATTTTTTTGCTTCCCGACCATAAGCAAGAACTCCTACAGCACAGGAGGAAAACAACACCCTCCCTAGTCCTGTTCTATGCAGAATTACATCTGTAATACTCTATCAGAAAAAATGCTTCAAATAAAAGAGATGCATCTGATTGGCACCCTTCGTACCTCTACTCTCTATGAAAACAAAAGGAAAACAATCAGCTCAGCATTGTCTAAACTAACAATTTTCTTTGGTGTTTAAAAAAAAATCAGGTAGATAAACTATATCATCTAATCACCTCCGAGGTCAGGCAGCATATGGGACATGATTTTGCATGCTTTAGTTCTGCCTTGTAGGTAAGTGCAGGAGTAGACATCTGAAGAGATAGGACATAATGACTAGGATAAACTGGAAGGACAGAATAAGGAGATACATGAAAACAATAGTTACAGACAAACAGTGAACATTATTTAGTCCGTAATAAGAATTCTAAAATAAGCTCAAAATGGATGATGTAGTTTGCAAACATCCAATAGGAGATACTTTGAGTGAACAGTTGAGAGTCCACCTGGAAGCAGAAATCAAAGTTTTTTAATGTTACATCAATACTAAAAAAGTGCAAGTACAATAGAACAAAGGAAGAACCCTATGATCAAAAGTTTTAGCAGTACTTAAAGAAAAGTTGACAATCCTTTTATAAACTCAGTCCATTTCTGGATATAAGCCCTTGCAGATAGAACTAAGGAAGGCTATAGATACTTTCCTGGTTTGCAAGTATCACAGTATTTAGAATAGTCATTTAGTTGCAAACTAAGATGATTTATTACCAAAAGTACAAAATGGAACAATGATGATATTCTAGTTGACTGAAGTCAAGCCTTATTCCTATCTGTTATTATCTGTCTAGATTTATCTTGACAATAGATAGTGAGCAAATACTGTTTCCCATTTAAGTGATTTCTGCTAAAATCCACAACTCAAAAATCAGAACATTCACTCAGAAAGAAATCTATTAAGAAAAATATCATGAGAAAGACTAGCTTGTTTTTTTTTTTTTAATAATATAAGATTTTTGTCAAGATAGTCATTTGGCAAGTAGTTATGAAAGACAGAAAGTAACTTAATGGGAAATTATACCATATGATGTTATACATTTTGTAAGACTCGATGAAGAGACTCTATTGAAATTTTGCACAGCAGAGAATTCTTCCTGCAGCTCCGTGCCTTTCAGTAAGGTTTGCAGAAACCAGCTGCCTGACACCAGAAGAGCTTCTGCTCTGCCTGCCACCATAAGAGCTTCTGCTGTTAACATTTTCCTTTAGTGTCCATTCATCTAAGCATAACTACTGAAGTCAAAGGAGGTAAAAAGGAATGCAAAGATATATATGGAAAAAAAAAGACTGATTCTGCCCTGCTTCCGTTCTAAAAGTGCTAGAAAGATTAACACTTTTAAAGGCTAGATAAATTTGGTCAAAACCATGTGACACTTCTTTTTGGTATTCAGACAACCAACTTTTTTTTGAATAGT